CAAACAGCAATATTATCATCTATACCTATTTATTCAAGGCAGGGATCTGACCTTTCCAGGCTCATTTGTTTCTGCAAACTTTGGTCATGCTACTCATGACTGCTCATATTCATAAGACTTGCAGGATTGGAACATCAAATAATTGCTGATAATGTAAAGAAAACGTGATAGGAGGAACAATACTGTTTCTTACTATGTGATTATCTGTTTTTCTTTAAGACTCTGAGAAATCACTTCAATTATTTTGATCATTTTCCTGTCAAAGGTACATTTTTAAATTGGCCACTGCACTTCCACAGACAGAAAGCTTTTCTGTGATCTTTGCAACAAATCTTAATGAATACATTAAACCGAGTACTATAGTTCTCCTGAATAATATTACTGTAATTATTTTGTTCCAGGTTTGTCAATGTCCACCCAATCATCCTCTCAGTTGTATGGAGGAAATGCCACCCTGCAGGTTGAACAACAGATCAGACTGCTTCACTGGTTGGGTGGCTTCAGTCTTGTCACTTGACCCCAAAATGACACCGTGTCCTGACCTATAAAATGGGGACAATAAAATCTATTCACTTTTGTAAACACTAGTGCAACATATGGTTGAATAGCAGTACGTAAATTTAAAATCTTAATTAAACTGAGGCAGAGAGCCAAGTAAGCACAAAGCATACGCTACTTGAAACAAGCTCATTAATAGTTCTGCTGCTGGAACCAGTTTTTTAATGACTCAGTAATGAGCTGACAGTACAATCTGCAAAACCACGGCTCTTGATAATTTTTTTTAAGTATATAATTATATTGTGATAATGACTTGAACTTGTGTGTGCACATCTAACAAAAAAGATACCTCCAAACAGTTAACAGCCTAAGACTTAGAATCTTTTCTTGCTTATTCCCAATTTCTATTGGTATAACTGCAGTCAGCTGTGTTACAAAAAGGAATGAGGATACTCTGGTCTTTCTGTTGGTACCCAGCACTGTAGTGGTACTTCAGTAGTATGTTTGATCTGTTACTTTCTGAACCATCAACCAAAAATGTTGTACAACCAACTCATGTCTCTGACTTTCTTCCCTTGTATGCTACAGTCACCCAGTACTCCTAGCAGACAGACAGTTTCATTTTCTATGAGACGAGATGCGTCTGCAGGTAAGGCATCACACTTAATTAAGCATGTCTCTCCATATGTAATGAAGACATTATATACGTTTAAGCGGCTTGTGCTGCTCTTTCATTCCAACCTGGTTTTGTTAGTAAGGTAACATTGGCCAGTGGCCTCACTACCAACAAATGTTAGATATTAATCTCCCTCCCTCCTCCCTTCCTTCCAGCACACTATTAACCTAGGTTATCTACTCAGGTAACCCATTTGTAAGCCCCAAGGTAGATTTATATTTCTAATTTGCAAAAGCATAGTTCTTGCCTAATGTCTCTCCAATACACCACAGGCACGGATCTGCAATAGGGATGTATTCACATCCATGGCATACAAGCTGGGAAACGGCACCCCATAAGGTCCATCTCTGGCCTTCACCCTTGGTTGCTCTACTTCATTATCTCTAGAAAGGAACCAAATAAAACAGCACATGCAGTATCTCACATGCTTTCTTGTTGCGCTCCTCGTTCAGGTCTCCTGTTGAGCAAACGGTTGAGCTGGAGTTTGCTGTCCAGTCACATGCCTGTTGACTTCACCAGACTTAAGAGCCTGATGCTCTCCCCACAGCTTTGACTTTTCACAACGGCTACCTACAATGAGAAAAACGGAACTGCGAAGCCCAGGAGTTCAGGAGACACACGTCACATTTTAGATGAAGTTCTACACTGAAAGAGGATGACTCCTTTCAGAGCTGTTTCCTAGGTCTACATTGAATCCAATACAGTGAAAATGCAACCCTGGCTGCCATTCCCCACAGCTACTGCAGCACTAGAAGTAATCACAATCATCATAATGGAACACAAAATGTATATATTTTGACCTTACTTCAATTATTTTCTGCATCTGTAATCATAGTGCATTCACAGAAAAAAATCTAAAAACCTATAATCTAAATGAAGGAACCACTTCTCCATGGGGGAAGACTGAATGTTGTATTTTTTCCATTTTAAAATTGTTAAGAAGCTGTTTATATGCTACTTCCAGTGAAAGAAGGTTATTTATTTCTCATAAAGACTAAATAATACTAAGGAAGTCTTACATATACCAACAGCAGACCATTTTTGAGACTATGAAGGAAACATTCAATGCATGAAAAATGAAATGAGAGCAAAAATAGTCACAATGACAACACCTCTGCAACCAAAATCTTTTCCTCAGCTTCAGCGTTGGTTTAGCAAAGTAACAGGGACGCCGCTCATTTGTTTTCTGTTGTTTGCAGGATATCAGCCTGAAGTTATTTCAGTTGTTACACCTGCCAGTGAGACTCCACCGCCAATGGCTGTGGTTTTACGAGGAAGTTGGCTCTTTCCGTTCGCTCAGCAAACCACTTCACCAACCCAAGTCCATCTGTGCCACCCTAAGTCTTTCAGAGTTTGAAAAAGAAAAGATTTTAATCTCTGCGATGCCTTTCATTTTCAGTTACTAGGAGGCAAAACATTCTCTGATGCCTCATGCTGTAAAGTTTATGGTGATTGATTAACTCTTTTAGAGAAAATACTCAAGCAGCAACGCTTTCTGCTGCCACCAGAAACATGAAGCTACAGGCCTTGCGTTTGAAGCAGAGCACCGCACATACTGAAAGCACTGTGTACGCCTGGGCCTTAGGGCAAGGGATGAATAGCAGCTATAGGAAAATCCCCTTATCTCAAAGACCAAAAAGATGGTAACAGTGGCAGGTGTCATCTGTTAGTACCAGGGAGGTAAACTCTGTTCGGAGAGCCACAGACCTGTTCTCCCAGGTGGAAATCAAGACCCCAGCGTAGGACTCCTGTGTGCCTGTGCAGTATCTCCAAAGAACACAACTAGTTCGTGCAGCCTGTGTGCCCCCCATGTCCTGAAAGATCCCACAGCGTGCTCCCGACCAGACACCGCCCTCGGTTTTTCACTTGGATTCTCTCGCACTCACGCTTTCACCCGTTCAGTGCCAAACTAAAGAATACAGCTGGCTGGTATTCGTTCAGCAGGTCAGGAATGCCGAGTCCCTGTTATCAGCAAACCCTCCCGAGGCCCGTACAGTGTTTGCTCTGATGGGCCCCATTGACGCTCCTGCAACTGCCCAGTGATGTCCGACTAGATCTGCATGCTCTGAGGAGGACAGATCTCTTCCACCTTCATCTCACACCTGCATTACGTCCCTCTGTGCTAATCCAGAGGTAAACTGCTGAAGCTGGGGCTGATAAAGAGCCTGGAAAAGGCCTCTTTAGACAGATCTCTGTGGAAACAGGGTGCTCCGTTATATTTTCCAGGTAAGAACCGAGTTCACACTTCAGACAGGGATCAATGATTTTGGAGGCGTTCAGGAAAGATTATTCTCAATACACACCTCTTCTTAGAGAGGAGGGTGGAGCAGAAGGGCGCAGTCAAGCATGAAGCCAGGCAGAGGAAGCAGGGGGTGGTATTTTGCCTATGCAAGTTTTTTAATCTTGTGAAGCATTTCATGGGGTATTTAGTATTTCTGTGCTGCTGAGAGTTCTGTTTCTAAACTCACAAAGTACCTGAGACTTCCCTCTCTCCCTTGGACGCCCAACACTTCCTTGTCTAAGAAACTTGGAAGTCATTGTTCATCCCCAAAGATCCTTAGAGATGCACGTGGAGCGGTCCCAAAGGAGGCAGCGAGCGCCAGAAAACTTGTCATTCCCCAACTACCCCCGTTAGTGTAGCTGCCTAGAAAGCCATGCCCTTAAACCATCATGACTACAACTTTATTCCCTACAGGTTGCATGGGAGTAGCTCCGCTCACTCACGTAATAGCTGGGATAAAGGGTGTAATGTCAACGCTGCTGAACGCAAACCCAGATCCTCTGGCTTAGCGTTAGCGGCTTCACACCACGCCGCGGGCACCGCACCGGGCGGTGCTCCTCGCAGGTCGCAGGGAGCTTCAGCAGCCACGGCCAGGGCCCCCCACGGGCACGTCTCTTCACCCCGACCTCTCGGCCGAGGCACTCGCCAGCCCAACCGAGTGCCGCAAGCCAAACCCCAGCACCCCACAGCATCTCGGTCAGCGATGGCGACGCCGTCCTCCCCTTCCTCCTCTCCTCTCCCCTACCACCCCCTGCCATCTTCCTCCACCTCACTGTCCCGACCCCGCAGCCACGGAGGCCTCGCTCGGCGCAGGAACCCGCACTGGGCCTGCC